GACTCCGACTCAAAAAAAAAAAAAAAAGAAAAAATCATTAACATGAGGCAGATTGATTAACAGGAGAAAAGGCATTTAACATGTATACATGGGGGCCTTCAACATGAAGACCCAAGTACAGGGGACATTGTCCTTTTTCATGCTTAGGTTCAACAAAGTATGGACAGCTGTGTAGAAATAAAATTGGACAAAGAGGATGGTCTTATGTTAATAGACTGAGTGAGGAACCCAGCAAGGCCTGTCTGTCTAGATTCTTCTTGGCTTCTCTGTGCAGCATTCCTGCCTTCTGGCTGTGGGGCAGGGCATTCTGTGGAATGGGGTCATGACCTAAGGCCAAAAAAGGCAGGTCAAATCATTTCTTTATGGCCAGATTTTACACAGATCACAGAGTTCTTTTGGTTTGGGTTTTTTTTTTTTTGTTTTCTGTTGGCATCTTACTCTGTCTCCCAGGCAGTGCAGTGACACAATCTCGGCTCACTTGGGCGCAAGTGATCCTGCTGCCTCAGCCTCCTTAGTAGCTGGGACTACAAGCATGTGCCACCACATCCAGCTAATTTTTCTATTTTTTGTAGAGAGAGGGGTTGCCTAGGCTGGTCTTGAACTCCTGGGCTCAAGCAGTCCTCCCAAAGTGCTGGTATTTACAGGCATGAGCCACTGTACCCAGCCAGTTGTAGTTTCTATGACCCTTCTTGGGGAATAGGGTTCTAGTTTCTTTCTTTCTTTTTTTTGAGTTGGAGTCTCACTCCGTTGCTCAGGCTGGAGTCTAGTGGCACGCTCATGGCCACCCCCACGTCAACCTGCTGGGCTCAGGTGATCCTTCTGCCTCAGCCTTACAAGTAGCCAGAAACACAGGCGTGCACTACCACGCCCAGCTAATTTTTTTGATTGATTGAAGAGTTGAGGTCTCACCAAGTTGCCCAGGCTAGTCTCGAACCTGTGGGCTCAGGCAGTCCACGCACCTCGGCCTCCCAAAGTGCTGGGATTACAGGCTTGAGCCACCGTGCCTGACTGGGTTCTCGTTTCTATGGCTAGCCTCCAGGACAAAGGGACTGAGAATCAGGAACGCAGGTCAGAGAAATTTTTGCTTCTGAGGCTGCTGCTCAGGCCTTCATTTGGGGGTATTGTTTTTTTAGTCCCAACAAAAGCTAGACATGGCTCTGATATGCCAGCCCTCTACCCTCTCCCTGGAGTGCTACCCCTGAGCTGGCATGTGGGAACTTGGAAGTTTAAGGCTCAACTGTGCTTTCTTGTCTCAGAGACATCATGAGCAAGGTTGGGTGTCAGGAGACAGTCCTGATGGGATCCCAGCCTGTGTGACTCTGTGACTCTGGGAAAGTTACTCAAGTAGTCTGTGCCTCAATTATTTTAGCTCTAAAACTAGGTTTAAGAAAATGGTGCTTCCTAAAAGTGTGCTGTAAGGCTTAATGACTTACCTCATGAGAAGTGTTCAGCACAGTCCCGGATTCCTTGTGGAAGTACTCAGTGAACATGAGCATTTATTCCTCCCAACCAGCAGAGCGCTCTCAGTGTCCTTCGCTGTCCCCTTGGTTTTCTTCTCCGTGTGGAAGGACCCTAACCATTTTAGTTTCAGCTACTTTATCTGACTTAGGGAGAGGAGTTTAAATAATCACACCATCCTTGCTGAGTCTTACCAAACAAGTTATCTTTTGGTTCATGATACATTCTGAGACAAAACTGTCTTAGTCTGTGCAGGCTGTTGTAACAAAATACCATAGACTGGGTGGCTTATAAATAGAAAGTCCTCACAGTTCTAGAGGCCGGCAGATGTGTCTGGGGGCTCTCTTCCTGGTTTTATAAACAGCCATCTTCTCACTGTGTCCTCACATGGTGGAAGGGATGAGGGAGTCTCTGGGGTCTCTTTTCCTAAGACCACTAATCTCACCCCACCTCCCAAAGTCCTATCTCCTAATACTATCACCTTGGAGGTTAAGATTTCAACCTTATGAATTTTAAAGGGACATTAACATTGTCCATTGCAAAAATATATCCAGGCTCTAAGCGCTGACTGAAACCTGATTCACAGAACCTGAAGTAGCAACACATTTGCTTCTCTCCCCAGGCTGACTGGTGAACTTGTGCCATGTTTCACTTTTTCCATCTCTAATGTACAACAGATGCTTGAGTTAAACCGTTTTAGTGCTATCCCTTGATGGCTTTTTTTCCTTTTTTTAACCAGACTTTTGGAACACCTAGTTCAAAAAGAAAGAGAATACCAGAATCTTCTACGGCAAACTCTAGAACAGAAAACTCAAGAACTGTATCACCTTCAGTTGCAATTCAAATCTAATGGTGAGTCATTTTCCACTTGCTCTTACTTAGGAGTGTTTGTGTGAGACAGATCTCAGCTCACTTAAAATCTGGCCAATATTCTAGTCAGCTTCGAAGAACAGTTGAGGTTATCTTCTATTGAACCAGGACTCCAGTAGATTCTGGAATACTACTCAATAAAAGCTGCTGATATATCAACAACATGGATGAATTCCAAATGCAGCATGCATGTTAAGAGCCAGATTCAAAAGGCTATATACCATGATTGCATTTATCCAGTACTCCAGAAAAGGACAAAAACGAATCCAAATGGGAGGTGAGGGGACTGTTTTTAAAGGACACGTGAGGACCTTTGGTGGTGATGGTAATTTGTATATCTTGATGATGGCGGCACTTACATGACTGAATGTGTTTGTCAAATTTCACAGCATGTTGCATACCTAAAAGGGCTGGTTTACTGTGTAAATATACCTCAGTAAACCTGACTTGTTCATTTTGTGCCACTTAAGAGCTCCAGAGCCATCTCTTGGGAAATGAAATGGATAAGCTCTGATGTAAAATCTCGATTCTAAAACCTGTCTCCTTATACAATTTCCAGAGCAATTAGGGATATGATTCCTAAGAAAAGGTATTTTAAAGATGAGGGAGGGAAAGCATTTAAAGCGATAGATTACATGTCAAATTCCAAACTAACGAAAGGTGTTGTAGGTAAGGATGATTCTACTCTGGAAAGTGAATCTAAAAATGATAAGCTGTGTAATATGCTAGAGCAGCTGAGTGATACAGGGTTAACTCATCTCTTTTCCACATCATATTTACATTCTGGAATAGTTTATTAATCCAACTTGTTGCTTTTGAAGTTTAATGGTTAGGCACTAATGCACATCCAAGCAAATTTTTAATCATTACAGATAGGACAACACCCCCTCATGGGCAGAGAACAGATCAAGAGCTGATAGACTGGTTGCAACTGCAAGGGGCAGATGCAAATACAATTGAAAAGGTAAGTTTATAACAAAAACAATTCCTATGCCATTGTTAAAAAGCTGCTTAGCTCTTATGTATTTGATCTTTCAGATTGTTGAAGAGGGCTATACACTTGCTGACATCCTTAATGATATCACTAAGGAAGATCTAAGATACCTTAGACTACGGTAAGAGCTTCAAAATAGTCTATATAATACACAACTTTTTAGGCGTGAATATGCTTGAAAATAAAGTAGTAGAAAACAAAGGGTTGGAATGCCTTCAAACTCCAGAGTTCTGTCACGTAGGAAAAGTCAGAAGTAAGGTGACAGGGAAGAGCTGGCCCCAGTCAGTCTCCTGCTATCTGTGCCTGGCTGGAAGTGGGGTAAGGCACATGAGGTGCCACTGCGCTTGGCCCAACCATTTCTTTAAGCTCCAACCTGCCTTCATGTGTCATGTGAGGTAGCCAGCTATGTTCTACCACTGCTGGGAGACAAATGTCACCTCCATATGTGAAGAGAACATTTTAATGAAGTTTTTAAGAATAGATGGTAAATCTAAACAAATCTAGAATTATAATTTTTGCCCTAAGAAGTTCTCAAGAAGTATTCTGTGGTGTTGCTATTAATAAAAATGACTCTGTTTGTTTCCTAGCGGTGGTCTCCTCTGTAGGCTCTGGAATGCTGTCTCCCAGTACAGAAGAAGGGCTCAGGAGTCCTCAGCAACCAAAGATTAGGCTTAATAACAATCCGCTAAGCAGGGGGGACAGAGTGAGCAAACATGCTACATCTTTTGCTAAAGCATCTGTTTATGTACACACAAATTCTGCTGCATTTACACACACAAAAAACATTGTTCAATTAACAATTCAAGAACTTGTTTTAAAGACTGTCCTTACTGAGAATTTTTTTTAAAGCGTATTATTTATAAACATAAAACTTGTACGCATTGTGAGAACAGTGAGCCTTAGTTTTAACATCCAGAATATTAGGAAATTCTTAGAAATAATTTGAATTTACTTCAATGAAAAAATTAGTACACCCTATAGCACTTGCTGGAAAGGCAAAACAGTAGATGTTTATGTATAAATTAGCTGGTATAGTAAAGTGTGAAAAACATAAAATTGATATGAACATGCCTTGTATTTAATGTTTGATATTAATGTTTGATATGAATGTAACTCTTAAAAAATAGCTTCATATTTATATTGAATGTATAAATGGAAAAAACTAAGTTATCAGGCCTTTGAAATGATTACGAAGTGGTCTTATTTAAAATGGTTATAATAAATATCGTGTCTTATTCTAGAGAAACGATGGTCCACGTGAATGGCTGCAGCGCCAACATTGCACACTACCTGGGGGTGGGTTGTTAACCAGAGTATGCCTCTGTGAGGGGCCCAGTGATGACCTGTAGGCCTCGGGAATGAGCTCCCATATAAGGTGGGACCCGGCATACTTTCTGTAACTAGATAATTTGTTGAAAGTATACAGCCAAGTCAAATACTTTAGACCTATATAAATTGAAAATGATCTTTATAATACACTAAATACTTAAAATGCTTAAGCACTCAGTAACATCTTTTAATACAACACTGTACAAACCACATGCAATTACTATCTCTTTAATCTACATATTTAGTTTTAATGGAAGTTTACAAGCCTAGTTTTCTGGGTTTTCTTCCTCCTTAACCAAGTTGAGAGCACACAGAGTTCCTTACAGCTGCTATCTAGTAGCCCTGTGAAGGTATAACCCTCTTAACTGACTGATTTAAACTTGATCCACTGATTGGCACCACGGACTTCAAAAGGTGGGTCGCTGGAGTAGATGTGATACCCTAGTTCCTCCAAAGGCGGCTCAGGATCAGCTGTTGCAAACTGGGCAGCATCCTCAATTTCTTTCCTCACTTCCACATCAATTTCCTAAAAATCAGATTACAGGGCAAGATTTTTGAATGAACAGCAGCTTAGGTACCAACTAGAATTCTACTCAGGACCTGTTGCTGGTGTAACTAACTCTTCTACCAGTACTACCAGTACTAGAAGTTCCAATCACTCTGCTAAATATTGAAGATTTTAATTTGTAAATAACAATTATCTACACAGGAAGATTTTTGGAATACAGATTTCAACATTAAAAAAAAGATATGCCCTAGGGACAATTTATGAACTAAAAACCCAAAGTATATTTTTAAGAAAAAAAGAACTACTACTGGGGGGCTTAGGCACTCTGATTAGTTAATGTCCTGTGGCACCAGGTAGTTCACTGCTCACCAAAATCTTCAAGAGCAACAGTGTAAGTGTGAGTAGAGAAGCTAAGGGAATAGCCCTGTGTGATTTCAGACTAATTATGCCCCAGCATATAACCTTCTAGGCTTGGACAAACTCACACATGACTGTGTGGCCACCCAGAGGTGGCAACATTTTGTGTGGGGGGAAAAAGAAACCGATTGTTCAAAAAGAAAAGTCAACCTTCAAAACCACCAAGAGTGACTGTACCTTTAATTCTTCAACACTAGCAAGATTGCTGTTCACCATTCTATCCTTGAGCAGCATAATAGGGTCACTCTTACTTCTTACTTCCTGAATTTCTTCTCGTGTACGGTAACTATGGGGAGGGAAACATAGTAATAAATTGATAAGAACAATTCTAGCAGAGTAAAGACAGCATTGTGAACTAGAATATGGGGCCAGATTGTTAACAATGCGGTGAAATACAGAAGTATGTTTCTGAAACAAAGGAGCACGTCAATACCTATGCCGCCATGGGAGTGGCAGTTATATTTTCAAAACACAAGACTATAGCCAAACATTCTGTAAGAGCTGTTTTATCATTCATAGAAAACTGTATACTGGCAAGTCATACAGATTCTCTAGCATTCTGACAACAGGGGCCAAATTTTGTTTGCTTCTTTGATCTGGATGTAAGGGTATGAAGGAAAAGGGTTTCTGTATATTACATGGGTTAGGAGCGGTGGAGATGGTTTCTGGGTGGTCATAATTATAGACTTTGAGGCATCAGAACGCCAAGCAGAAAATACACGTGCCTTTCCTTTCTCCCTTAATGCCCCCAAAGCAGCATTTCCAGTAAAACCTTGGATACCAGGCTTTCCAATTCTTGATTCTATATTTCCTTTTCCTACATCATCTGAAATAACACTAAAAGGGTGCTACCATTTTAAAAAATACATTTTTTAGAAACAAAACTACATAGTATATTTTTTCCATATAATTTGTTCTCTGCAGCCGGGCTCGGTGGCTCAGCCTGTAATCCCGCACCTTTGGGAGGCTGAGGTGAGTGGATTGCCTGAGCCCGCGGGTTCGAGACCCGCCTGGGCAACTTGGCGAGACCTCATCTCTACAATAAATCAAAAAATTAGCCGGGCGTGGTAGCGCGTGCCTGTAATTCCAGCTACTCGGAAGGCTGAGGCGGAAGGATCGCCGGAGCCCAGCAGGCGAGGCTGCGGTGGCCAGGAGCGGCCACTGCACTCCAGTCTGGGTGACAGCGTGAGACTCCAACTCAAAACAAACAAACAAAAAAAATCAGCCGGGCGTGGTAGTGCGTGCCTGTAATTCCAGCTACTCGGAAGGCTGAGGCGGAAGGATTGCCGGAGCCTGGCAGGTCGAGACTGCAGTGGCTGGGAGTGGCCACTGTACTCCAGTCTGGGCAACGGAGTGAAACTCCAACTCAAAAAATAATAATAATAATAATAATAATTTGTTCTCTGCAACATCTTTCCTGAGACATCCATTCTACTAACAAAGGCTTGTCTACTTTGACTGAATGGACTTCTTTCAATTGTGTCAAACTTAGGATTGCAGAATTACATGCTAGTGTTACAAAGTGAAAAAGTAAAACTCATACTCCCTATTTTTTCTGATGGATGTATTTCAATTTATTGAACACCTGGTCAAACCTTGCTCCAGGCTTAAGACAGAAGAACATTTCCAAATTCCATCCTCTTCAGGTGGAGTATGCCAAGCGTGAATTTGGGCTGGTGCCTAAAAAAGGTAGAGGCCCCTAAAGATACTACTCTACCATTAGACCTGTTTTATGCAACAAATGCCCTCTGCAATGAAGTTAAAATTATTACTGCTCATACTAACACTTAAAAACTACATACAGCAGGAATTTTCAGAATGCTTTCTATATTGGAACCAACTGATTGGGAGGCACTCCTTTTAGACTAAGACACAAATAACTATTTGATGCCAACAAAACTCAATAAATAAAGTGAATTGGTATCTGTGTTGCTTTTTCATGCGAGTTGCATCATTCAAGGTCTACCACACTCAGATTCCCCACTGTACCTGACTCCAGGATCACTCATGCTGTGTCCATGGTAACGGTAAGTCTGCAGCTCCATCAGAATGGGCCCCTAAAACAGAACACGCAGGTGGTTAGGTAAGAAGATGGGAACAGCATGCCAACAATTCATGGCCTCAGACACAGGTCCTTCCACCATCTATTGTATTCTTATCAGATCTTCTGCCTTGTCAAGTGTTTCTTACTGGTTGACTGATGAAGTTATCTCTTGTCATTTCTGACATCTATTTATTGCATGTTTCATCTTTCTCAGTTTTAATAGAAACTTAATAAAGTAATCTGCCAACAGCTTGTTTTGAATAAAAAAGGCATTGAGCATATTTTAGAGTCTATAATTGAACTAGGTATATTTCCACCTCTTACCCATTTCACTTAGTGTTTCATAGGGGCTGGAAATCTATCCCCTCACACAGATCTTGCTAGTTTGCAACAAAGTTGGCAGGCACCAACATCTAATATCCAAACCCCACAGTTTTGCTGGGAGTCTGGTCACCCCAGCTCTGCATCACCAAGTGGCTACACTACCCCACTACCAGAAGACAGCTCTGAACACTCAGGGAAGGTGGTGGATTGAGGATCCCTGGGTAGTTTGATGTAGTAGTTGCGGTGGGTGATAGGGGCATTGGCTCTGAGTCCAAATGCTTAGATTCCAATCCTGGCTCTAAGAGTAGCTATGTACCCTTAGCTGATCTGTGGCTCGGTTTCCTTGTCTGCAAAATGGGCAAAACAGTAATACTCAAAATCATGAAGATTAAATATCTAAAAAGTGCTTAGTACACTGCCTAAAAGACACTAATCCCTCAAAAACTGTCACTTATTCTGTCATTCAGTAGCCATTTGAAAACAGTGGATTGGGCTGGTGATGACAAACGGTTTCCAGACCCTCTCCTGAATCCAAGATCAGGCTTTGGTCAGGCTGGGAAAGTCAACACATAAACCACTGTTTCCACCCAGGGTTAGTCCCAATATATTTTCAGGAATTGGGAGAGATGGGGACAATACCCCCCACCGTGCCAGTTCCCTCAGCCTTGGCATCCTGATGTAGACTGCTCAGCCCATTGCACCAACCCGTCACCTTAGTTCTGCTCTAGCATATTCTCCTCATTGGCTCCTGTTTAACATGGCTATGTTTTCCTCCCTGCTTCCTTCTCCCCACTCCCTGACATTTCCATTATTGCTGGCCACATCCACACCTACTTTGCATCACTGAACAAGCATACACACATGGTATGGCACAAAGGCAAACCTCAAAAACCTTGTGTTTTCTGGGCTGTGGAATACTGATTTAGGAAGAACACTTACTAAACCTATACTATCACTAAAGGGACTCAAACCTCTTTTTAGGCCAATGTCACTGTTCCTCTCTCCCTCACCACCATATACTGAGAGGTAAAGATCCTTAGGATTGAAATAGCAAGACTAAGATTATATGCTTTAGCCATAATACTTAATTTGCATAAAACAAACTTATACTGAATGCCTATTATATAAGCAAACTTCTATGCTGGACATTGTGGGGATCCCCAATCCTGAACCGTGAACACTCAAGGAGTTTATGATTAATGGGGGTTGGGAAGGAGGCGTGTAATTAACCAGACTGTCATGATGAAGATAGAGGCAGAAGAAAAGATTTTCCCCAAATAGGGAAGGGGTGGAATGCATCCCAGGAAGTGAGCTACCAAGACCATGCTCTTCATAAAGGAGTTCTAGTCACCTGGCTGGACCCTGCTTCTGGACCTCAATTAGCTGACACCCCTGAAAAGCTCTAATAGGCATGTGGAAAGCATTCTTCTAACTCTGAGATAAATGTCATTAGAAATGTTTAGCCCTGAGGCCTAAGAGAAAATCTGTAGAGCCTTACCTTCCCAGATCTACAGTAGGCAGCTGCAAACCTTGTTGCCTCTCGGACACACAAGATATCCATTCCATCTACCTATTAATAAAAGTGGGAGAGGCACAGCATAAATCCAACTGTCCAAAACTGTTTTACTTTTGCATGACCTGTACATGCTTAAGAAAATGAAACTGCTCCGTTCTTCTAAGATTGTCAAAGGTGTGTACTTGGGCATCTAGCTGAGAGGGTATGGCCCTGTCTCTACCAGAGATGTTCTCACCCTCAGCCCAGGAATAAAATCGCCTCTCTTGAAGTAATCAGTGCTGGCTGCTGCTCTCTCAACAGATGTTCCCATTCCATAGCGGTTATTCTCACAGATGAAAATACAAGGCAATTTCCACAAAGCTGCCATGTTGTAAGCTTCGAATATCTGACCCTGGAAGTATTTATAAAAAGTTCAAGTTGTTTCATTTTGCTTATTTCCCTAGACTTCATCATCAGCCATAATAGTTGCTGCTCTACTTGGCACAGAAAACTTTCATAAAGAATGGAAAGCCTCATCTTCTAAAACCAAGCTTTTGGTGGCGAGGGAAAGGAATGTGTGTTTAAAGGCATGGGAGAAAACAGCAGGCATCATACTGTTGCAACTAAGGGAAGTGACAAACCGAATACCACCACTTGTTTCTTTAGGGCCACACTAGTAGTACAGAACATACTGGAAAAAAGACCAATGTGCAAAAATGTGTAGCTACCTAGTTGTGTGCTTTACTATAAATCTATCAGGCCTGCTAGATAGTCAGAGTGAAGCAGCAACTGAGCATTAGCATCTAGAACAGGGCCTCACAGGGTATTAGCCACAGACTGGGGATACTCAGACCATGACAGGAGAAGCACAGAACCTGAGAGTCAGGACTCGACACCACTGTAGGAATCTGACATTGCCCTGGCAACCAAGAGAATGGGTCTGTATATCACTACTGGTTTGCAATAGGTTGGGGTAGGGGGAGAGCTTCTTTACCATAGGGCCCTGGCGAAGCACTTTGCAAAGGTGAGCTCCCTCACAGGAACGCACCCCATGAGGCTCTTGTGAAAATAATGCTGAAGCAAACCTCTAATCTGGCCATAAATTAAATTTTAGCTTGCCACATGTGCTGCTACTTCAACAAGTGAGTGATATACTACCATTTAAAAAATTCAACTATGAATATTCAGTACTTTGGAAATAAAACTGTAATGGTTACCAGAATTGGAAAGGTAAGAGACATGTACTTACCTGATTAGCAGCACCATCACCATATAAAGTCAGGCAGACCTCATCTTTCCCATTATACTTACAGGCCAGAGCAATTCCAGCTCCCAGGGGCACCTAACATTAAGGACAACCAAGAAAGAAACCACAGAAATCCATGAGGGGAGGTATTAATGCTCTGAAATTTAACTCCTGGCTGAAATTTGGAATAGAAATTACACTGTCACTACAAACTCTCTCTACCCCAAGCTTATCTCTCTGCTTATCTTGACCCCAATATTTTCAATGAATCAGTAAAGTAACATAAATACTATGTAAATAATAACACTTCTGTACTCAAAGATTCAACTACTCATCCCCAAGAGTCAAAAAATAAAACCTAGGTGTTTTTTAGAATAACAGGCTGGGCACAGTGGCTCAAAAGCATATAATCCCAGCACTTTGGGAGGCTGAGGTGAGCAGACTGCCTGAGCCCACAGGTTCGAGACCAGCCCGGGCAACTTCGCAAGACCTCATTTCTATAATAAATCCAAAAATTAGCCGGGGGTGGTAGCGCACGCCTATAGTTCCAGCTACTTGGAAGGCTGAGGTAGAAGCTCGCCTGAGCCCAGCAGGCTGACACTGGGGTGGCCGTGAGCATGCAACTGCACTCCAGCCTGGGCGACAGAGTGAGACTCCAACTCAAAACAATAACAAAAACAAACAACAACAACAACAAAAAAAAACCTGTAACAGAATCTTATTAAAAAGGAAAACAATCTAGATACAATTTTATGCTATTAATTCTGTATCATGCACTAATTGCTGAGAACAAGAACTCCAAAGCTACAGAAGCAGGGTGCCTGAATGAAACGTATTTGGATACCTAACCCTTAACTGTACCCCACAACATCATAATAAAAAATATTGATTAAAAAGAAAAAAACAAAAAAACAAACAAACAAAAAAAGCTATAGAGGCAAGCTTTGGATTACTGGTAAGCCCCTGAGATCCTGCCTGCTTGCCTTTTCTAGTCTGGCATCAGTGTCAGCACTGCCTATAAGCAGGGAAAGGTAGAGTAAAATCAATGTCATAAAGCAATGAATAAACTGAATATATCATAATATTGAATATACTAACTTGGAATTATAAAGAAAAAAGTGAAGGTATAGGCTCACTGTTATAGGCTCTTGCTTTCTTATAAAACAAAGTAAATAAAAGGTAAAACTTTAAATTTTTAAGTCACTATCCAAATATACTTATTTCTCAAATGGTGGGGTATGAAGCAATAGGTCTTTAAAAGCAAACCAAGTTCCCAAAATACAGTCATGTGTTGCTTAATGATGGATACATTCTCAGGAATGCATAATTAGGCAATTTCATTGTGTGAATATCACAGTGTGCTTACACAAACCTAGATGGTCTAGCCTACTACACACCCAGTCTATGTGGTATAGCCTATTGCTCCTAGGCTACCAACCCGTACAGCATGTTAATGTACTGAATACTATTGGCACTGTAATACACAAGCATCTGTATATCTAAACACTACTACAACATCACCAGGTGACAGGAATTTTTCAGCTCCATTGTAATCTTGTGAGACCATCATCATTATGCGGCACATGACTGTACTGAAATAATTCAGAGAAAAGTTGTCAGGAGGTATAAAAGTTTTTGAAGACGTGAGCCAGGGCCAAATCTAAGGAAGCATGCAATCCTCATCCTTGATGACCTGAGCTCCCACAATGCCATTGCCCCCGTAGAAGTTCTTGGCATACATATGCATTGATCCTCCTTTTCCTTTGGCACAACCTCCTTTACGTCCTAGAAATGGCAGAACATAAACATGTGCATCAAAAACCAAATATACAAATCAAACCAAACCACACCCCAAGTAATTTACTCTAAGGCTCAACTATTAGAACTCAGAGGTCAATTCAATCATTTAAACACCCATCCTTCTAGGCAAACATGTTCCTCCTTATCTCCCAGTCCTTTCATAAGAAAGGTCAGATTCATCCTGTGTTCTTCAGTTTTCCAATCTTTCCTTCAGAAGTCCAGATGGTACGCTGGACTTTTTTTTTTTTTTGGCCGGTTACAAACACCTTCTGACTTCTCCTTCGCTGTTACACCAAATACACTTGACCCTTGAACAACAGGGGCTTGAATTGCACAAGTCCACTTATCCGTGGATTTCTTTCAACCAAACAAGGATTGAAAATACAGTATTTTGGGGATGTGAAACCTGTATATATGGAGGGCCAACTTCAGGATTCGAGTATGCAAGGACTTTGGTATACTAGGGAGTCCTGGAACCAATCCTCCACATATACCGAAGGATGACTGTAGTTCAAGAGTCAAGGGGACAAAGACAAAGGGAATATTAAAATTTACAGAATTTACATTGCATACCATGGAGCACTTCAACTCAACTTACTTGCTATGACTGCTATATTTCTATTGGCATACTTAAGTGATAACCAACCCTATTCTAATTTTATAGCACTATCTTTTTTAAACTTGTACCAGAGGGGCCAGATGACTCCAAAAATGGCCAATTTACTCAAAAGTACAACAGAAGTACAAGAACATCAAGAAACGAGTTTTAAAAAAACTTAAAACATTTAAAAATATTAACTCATAATGGTTAGCATCTTAATGGGAGATATTTAAAAATGTAGTCCACTCATTTCTCCTTTCTAGAAATCAATAGCAAACCTGTAAGCTCTGCAAGAATTTCTCGGACAGAAAGGCCCCGAGTGAAGGTAAAGCCGTGAGCCCGATAGGCTGTGATGAGATGGTCTGTGGGATTTATGCCGGCCTCCAGGCCTACACAGCAAGCTTCCTGTGTTAGGGAAGAAAGCATAAAGCAATACAACACACATCTCTGGATACAGAGGTTTCCTAGACTAATGAAACATCTGGACTAGAAGAACTCAAGAGAATAACCAGAGAAAATGGCTATTTTTCCCCAATAAACAGGTTGGAAGGTAAGGCTCAATCGAGAAGCCATAAACTGGTAGCCAAAAGATGTGAAATCCTGAATTGGCCCTTTCCCCAGCTGCCACCAAGTGCTTGGTCCTTCTGAGGAAGCTAAGGCCATGGTGGGGCGAGGCCTTCACTTCATCTGGTGACTAGCACCATGCCCAGCAGTTTAAGCTCTGCACTTGCCACAACATGGCCTCTGTGTCCAAGCTCGCTTGCAACTACTGGGCCCTCATTCTACATGACAAAGAGTGACCATCACAGAGGATAAAACCAATGCACTCATTAAAGCAGCTGGTGTGCATGTTGAACTCTTTGGGCCTGGCTTATCTGCAAAGGCCCTGGCCAAAGTCGACATTAGGAACCTCATTTGCAATATGGGGGCTGGTGGGCCCATGCCAGCAGCAGATCCTGTCCCCTCCATGGCTGCTGCCCCAGTTCAGAAGTGGAAGCAAAGAAGAAAGAATCAGAGGAGTCTGATGATGACAGGGGTTTGGTCTGTTTGACTAAACCTTTTATAATATGTTCAATAAAAACTGAACTCTTAAAAAAAAAAACACAGAGGCTGGGCATGGTGGCTCACATCTATAATCTCAGCACTTTGGGAGGCCGAGGTGAGAGGATTGCCTGAGTTCACGGGTTCGAGACCAGCCTAGGCAACTTAGCGAGACCTCACCTCTATAATAAATAAAAAAATTAGCCAGGCGTGGTGGCACATGCCTGTACTTCCAGCTACTTGGAAGGCTGAGGCGGAAGAATCGCCTGAGCCTGGCAGGTAGAGGCAGCACTGGCCGTGAGTGTGGCACTGCACTCCAGCGTGAATGACAGAGTGAGACTCCAGCTCAAAAAAAAAGAAATCCTGAATCTAATGTCAACATTAAAACACTAAGGAAATGTTACATGAAAACCGAGACTTCTGCCAGGTTATAGTATCCCCTCTGGGTGGTGGGATGCCTGCCCCACTTCACCACGAGTTCCTGTCAGCCATTCCCTATGTTTTGTATACCTACTTTGCTTCACTCATTTATTCTATCTACCTGGCTGGCCCCTGTAGGTATTTGAATCTTTAACCTTTGACCTAAATCCACAAAACAAAATAATCCTTCTTTCCAAGATTGTATAGTATAGGTGATCACAATGCCAGAGTTTTAAAATAATAAGATTCTAAAAACAGGTACAGGAAACTGGTAATGTTGTGTATGAATGATTTAGCCTAAGCTTCATAGTAAGTTTTGGCAGTCTAATTTTTACTCTAAAATATCAGCCTCAAATCCTTCTGACATGTAGGCATGGTAAAAACGAATAAATACAAGCCACACTTCAATACTTGAATAACATGGTTTTATTAAAAACCTACCACTCACCTGACCGTCACACAAGTGACAGAAACCACGAATAATTTTCTGTTTATATAGCTGATCTGCCTTTAACTCCATCCGGCGCACAGTCTGCATCATCCTGTAGTATTTGAGGCCGTCCTCCCTGGTGAGCACTGTCGTGACAGGAGGGCCTTCTTCCAGCCGGTGAAGGTCACATTTCTGAAATGGAATAAGGTAGTTATCCTTCATTTACTACATTGCAAGCACTGCTGACTTACTCTAAGATCTAACTCCATCATGAATAATACAGCACTCAAAAACAGCAAAGAAGCACATCAGAAATGCTACATATTGCTTCTATTCCTTAAATCTATAAACTCCACTGTAAAATGCGATGGAATTTTTGGAAAAGGAATCTTTCTAAGATGACTTTCACTGAAACTAAGTTAAAAGATGACAGAAGAACCTTCAAAGAAACTTATTTAAGAATCATCTTCAAATATTTCAGTGAACCATATTCTAAACTTTGGAGCAAGTTTTTATACTTGTCTTAGCTCCCCCTCCATCCCCCTACAAAACACCAGCAAGCTGCTAAGAATAAGAAATGCTAATTTTTGCTAAACTTCTCTAAACCTTTGATCCCGGAACATTTGGAAGAAAATGACCAAAAAGTAGGAATATCGAAATGTTCAATTCTAAAGGTAAAACTGTGTGTCAGAGTGTGCCTGTAGAAAAGTTATTAACAAAGTAAAGCACTTCTTACCTTAATTTCAAAACAACTCTTACCTTAATTTCAAATGTAGCATCATTTGCAAAATTACGGGACGCTACCAGCACTCTGTTTGCCTTGAAAGACAAAATACAAACAAATCAGTACTTTTTATTGTCAGTTGTTTTGGTAAGTCATTATTATTGTTAATAGGCTATCAGGATGCAGTTATGGAACTTTTATAAGCCCTAACATATTCATGAGATTCTCTTCCATTCTGTTCACTGTGTTGGTATCTTCCCTGTCTTCCAAAATGAATCCATGCCTTGGTCAATGAAATATGATCATGACTCCATCTGAAGGCAAACAGCACAAAGAGAAAGGGGGAAAAATCCAAACCCATCCTCTTAGTCACTTTGTTTTCAAAGAAATTACAGTGAGAATATAATGAAATTAATGACTAAATTAAGGAGACAGGCTAATCTGTGAGCTTTGTTTATGATATTCTTAGTTATAACCAGATAACTTTCAATTTAAGGAAGCTGTTCACTTTCAAAATTATACTTCAAACAAAACTATTGTTTAATCCCTAATCCAAGCAAACTCCACTTTTCCATGAAATGGATCTGTAAGAAAAAATATTTTAAACTACTCAAAGTATGAGCTAAATATATTAGTGAGACATACAAGATGAAAGATATTTAGCACTCTTGGACTTAAAAAACAGTGGACTTAAGCCAGTTGTTCTACTATTCTATAATTTATAATTTGAACAGCCTAAATCTTGGGCAGGCTCCTTCTGAAGCCTCAGTAGGGAGAAATGTTCTCTAAAACAGCATTCCCTTGATATTTGGATGGCTGTCATTGCTTGAGGGTAAAAAGCTGTGAGAAATTATTCCTTTCCACTCTTACAATCAAACATACCTGCTCATAGCAAAAGGATTCTATGTGATGGCTAAGGTTCAGGTTAGACCTCAAAATTTAACCAGTCAGAATTACCATACTATTTTAGCTACATTCTGTCACATTTTCACACACCAACATGTAAATCAGCATAATTTATTTTCATGGAGACCTGAAGCACACTCATCAGGTCCCATAAAAAGCACATTTGATGTGTTCATAAAGTGTATTACCTTGCCATTCTAGTACTAGACTTGTTCTTGGTAAGAAAAGTTAAGACTAACTTGCCAAGTGCTCCTCTGAGTGTATGTGCCAATAGGAGAAATCTATTACTTATCTCTTCACCTGTCAAAATATCATTATCTAACAAAGCCAACAAATAAAGACTGACACTGCTGGAGGAAGAAACTTTAAATACCAGGAACAAATGTTTATGTTAAGTTAGAGAGAGTTCACTAATATATCTCAGAAAAGGTGAAAAAAAAATTAGGCATTTGGAAAGAAGTAAAGCTGAGAGGGGTGTGGCAATCATGAAATGGACATGTTATTTTTGGCAGTTAACAAATAATTTTGTAGAGCCAGAAATCATTACTACATTACAAAATAAATTTCCAAATACAACTACGGAAACTGCAGTTTTTGGAAGGTAAAAGTAGAGACCAAACCAGCCAGGCAACAGTAACAGAGAAAAGATAACTTCTTTCTCAATCTTAAAATCAAAACAATGAAGAATGATAGATAGACAATAAAGAGCAGGAAAGTAAGGGCAAAGATTATGACTGCCAGAAAGCTACTTGGATATGTTCTCTCTTTGTTTCATTATTATAAAACCCAAAAATAAGAACCACTACTATAATGAGTAAAAGGAGCAAAGTTAAGTTAAAGAAGCTAAAAATCATATCAGAAGTGTGAGTGTATCATAATTTACGGTAAGATTATTGAAAAAACATAATTTCATCATTCATTTTCTCTGGAAAGCAATAAAAAGATTTTCTGTTAAATGGCTTCTTTGACAGAGACCATGAACAGCTCATTCAAATTTTGAAAAATAAAAACTAAATTCCTAAATACATGGGAACCATTCAGGTGAAGGAGGAAAAATATTTCAAAATTTCCAGATTCTACAAGTGTAAATTAAAAGTTTTACCTACTACCTTTACAACCAAAGAAATTCTGGTAGTAAAGATCTCACAAAAGGAGTCATAATACAAATACAAAAAATAAGACAAAAATAATAAAGATTTTAAATGCAATTCAGTCTTATTTCATGAAGTAAGAATTTTGAAAACAATAAACCTCATTCAAAAATGAATTCACAGCTGGGCTCGGTGGCTCAGCCTGTAATCCCAGTGCTTTGGAAGGCCGAGGTGAATGGATTGCCTAAGCCTGAGGGTTCAAGACCCGCCTGGGCAACTTGGCGAGACCTCATCTCTACAATAAATCAAAAATTAGCCAGGCATGGTAGCGTACGCCTGTAGTTCCAGCTACCTGGAAGGTTGAGGCAGAAGGATCGCCAGAGCCCAGCAGGTCGAGGCTGCAGTGTCCGGGAGTGACAAAGTAAGACTCCAACTCAAAAAAAAAAAAAAAAAAAATGAATTCACAATCTTGTGATGCACTTCAAAGTTTTATACCAGTCTCTGATCAGACAAATGGCAATCTTGAAACCTGGGATAAATTTCCATACCTGCCTGGTTTTAAGAGGGGGAGGAAAAAAATAAGAGAATACAAAATGAAAAGAAAAAATGCACAGAGCCTTGGGAGGTAGAATAAGGGGATAAACTTTAGGCAGATGTGCCACAGCCATCAGCCCAACCGCCTAACCTCTCTCCCTCCCTCCACAGAGTATCATACAGGTGGTACACCTGTTATACAAGTCTGGGTAAGCCATTGCTTATTAGTTACTGTCAGGAGTTTTTTTTTTAAAGCTTATATGCAAAAATGTCTTTTTATATGTACAATAAAAAAAGTAAGAACCTTGACTTATTTTATGCTATTTGTAAGTAAAAAATATCTGTAAGTATGAAGAGTTGCAAAATATAAAAAGTCAACATATTAGAGTTTCTTATTCCACCCTTTAAAAAGATAAAGGTGAAATTTTTAGTTGTAACTTTCTTTAAAAGCTTCAGGAATGGTTCCTAATTAGCCCCTGACAAGTAGAGTAACAAAGAAAAATCCAAATTATCTGAAGAGTTTACATCACCAAATGGAAAGGCACCTGGGCACTTTCTAAAGTAACATCATCTCTGGAACTCAATTTTCTTCCTACTGTAAAGTGAGGGGGAAAAAACCCTGCAAATTAAACAGGAAACAATAAATCTGACTTTCAGGAAATAATAAACCAACATCAAGTGTCTAACAATAGACATTTAAGGATGTTTCTGAGCCCCTAATTACTGGCACAGTCCTTTACCAACTGATATCCTCAAAGGAGATGACATCTCTGAAAAGCAGAAATTCCGGTAGAAAGGTACAACATTTTTTATTAGTTTCAAATCCCAGTTTAACTTCTTGAAACCTTCTAAGTTTGATTTCAGTAGTACTTTGGAAATATTTTTTCTTTCCACTAATGAAGTGTAAGGCTTCAATAACAAAGCGGTCATTTGTTTTCACTTTTATTCATTGTCCAATCTTAAAGCTAAAAGCAAACTACACCTTCTAACTTCTGCAAGCAACTTAGAGCCTGTATAATGCTGAAAACATGTTTCTATTACTCATGCTCAACTAAAAACTGATGCTGTGGGGATTAAATGAGATAAACCACGTTAAGCATACAACCCAGTGCCTGGCACATATTAAGAGGCCAATAAATGTTGGCTATACCACGCATATATGCAGAAATAACCTGAAATGTGCTTTTCCCTCAGGTAAATCCAGCTACAATTTAAATGCTAATATCTGATGAATCAAGTTGTGTTTTGTCATTATTTTAGTCAATGGAACTCCTAGAGGGGCACATCTCCTACCTTTTGACAATTTCTGCCCATAGTAAGCAGAGCAGCATCAAGTCCTGGGGGAATCACTAGAGCCAGAATTACAAGTCAAAGCTTGGCTGCAGTTAACACCAACTAACACTACCTCACTGTGCCTAGAGTTCAAAATGCTAGCAGCTTAGATGTCAGGCACATCTAAATGTTGGGGTCACAAATAGGGCTAACCTCCATCCCCACCCTCCGAAGCATCACTGCTGTTTCCTTTAGCTTCTTTTACACTAAGAGTGTGTGCAAGGAAGAGGGCAGTTTCCTCTGGATTCTGCTCCGCTGCTCTTGAATTAACTGCCAAGAAAAGCTCAGGTGTTGAGAGAGAAGAGGAGGAAGTTTGTTTATGGGAGGCTGACCCTGCCTGAACCCTCCTCAGAGCCCAGCACATGTGCCCAAGAAACGTATACCAAACTAGGCGTTCAATAAATAATAACACTATTAAACACACAGTACCTACTATGTGCCAGGCACTATTTGGAAAGGTTTACACACGTTATCACTCGCTGAATCCTCATGACAACCACACAAAATAAGTCATCTTATTATTCCTATCTTAGAGACAACTGACAACAAAGAACCGGTAACATTTTAGAGATAACTGGATCTCCATTTGGTGATAACATTTTAGGAAAGTGGGCACGGGAACGTTTAAAAACTTGCCCAAGGTCACAAGGCGAGGTGAATGGTGAGGGTGGCATGTGAACACAGCCAGTCTCCGGATCCCATGCTCTTTACTACTATGTACTCCAAAGTCTCTCGGTCTAGAGAAATTAAGTAAGAATGATTTGAAATGCGTGAAGCCAATTGGCGACTGGAAGGAGCCCTTTCCATGTTCTGTAAACCAACGGGCACTTCTCGAGCACACCCACTTGCCCGGCACACAGAGGGCGGAGGGAGGTGGTGGTGGGGGATGAGGGAGCAAGTCCACGCGGACCCCGAAGGATCCTCCTCCTCCACAGTCGGCGCCGGCGAGCCGGGCGGCCGCTCCCTACCTCTCCTCCCGGAGCCAGGAACGGAATGCATGGCGTGGAGGCAAAACAAAGGCCCCCGGCTCCCCTACCTTCCACCGCGCGCTGGGCCCCAGGCAGCGGCTAGCCGCACGCTCGGTAGTCTGGACCGCCCTCCGGCCTCCTCCGGTCCCGCCTCGGCCCCGCTCGCGCCCCACCCCGGCCCGCCCAGGCGGCCTCACCGGCTTCTGGGCTGCACCAGACAACACGCGGGAGACAGCGGCGAGCATCTTCCTCATGGAACGCAGGCAGTGTGGGTTGCGGCAACTCCCAAACGCCGGAGAAACACCGTCAGGGTGTCCGCAAGTCTCCTTCAGGTGCCCCCGCAAACGCCACGCCTTAACTGCAGGGCGACGTGATGGAGTCATCGCGGCGTCATGCGCCGCGCCAGGCCGCAGACCAACCGGAAGGGGCTTCCAGGGCTTGCCCCGCCCCCCGAAAAGTCTGCGGCTTTCCATTGGGTATCGGTGCCAGACAGGGCGGGACTACGGGCTCGTTCCGTCACCACGCTGTGGGAGGGTGAGGGGACTGGAACCTGAGGGCGCCTGCGTGAGAAAGTGGGGCCCCGCCTTCAAGTCGGCGCGGGAAAGGAGCCTTGTTGGATTCTTTCCTGCAAACAAGCGGGGAGGTATGTGCAGACGCGTCTCACCCTGGGCCTAGTCCTGCTGGTGCTGCAATTTTGTAGCCTTCGCTCAGTACACGAGATGGTGAAGATTAGTAGCATGCGCGGGGTCTAATGACAGAAATGGTTCGGCCACTAACTTGTGTTTAAAAGATCACGTAGCAGTTGTAAAATGCTGCTCTGTCTACTTGAGCGAGGATCCAAAAATCGGTTCCCCAACTACATGCTGAGAGGTCAGTGGAAGAAATCTTTTGGCTCTAGTTATTGGTTCACAGGCTCAACGTGAGTTAGCAGCGTGGGTTAGTGGATGATAAAGGCACACACAAAGAAACGAACACCAAAGCAACTCTAGACTATTTAGAGGAGTCAAAGGGCTCAGGAACTTATTCTGTTGTGCCCTAGAGAGATTGCACCTGGGGTGCCGGATTCAGATTTGGACTCCACATTTTAAGGGGAATAGTGACAAAACGAGTGGAATCCAGAGGACAGTGGTCAGAATGATGAGGGGCTGAGGTTGTGACTTATGAAGAATAATGAAAGAAGTTAGGGAAAAACCAGACTAACTAGGATTGGGTAGATTATGTGGTAACGACTGACCCCCAAATTTCAGTCACTGTAAGAATTTGAAGCCTAGACAATATAGTGAGGCCCTGTCACTACCAAAAAAAAAAAAAAAAAAGTGAGGAGTGGTAGTGCATACCCTGTAGTCCCAGCTGCCAGGACGTGGAAGCAAGAGGATCCCATGAACCCAGGAGGCTGCAGTGAGCTATGATCACATCACTGCACTCCAGCCTGGGTGTCAGTGAGATCCTATCTCTAAAAATAAAATAAAATAATAAAGAATTTGAAGTGCCTTGAGCCATCTTGCTCATACTGCAGGTCCGTCTGGGGCTCTGCTCCATGACATCTTCACTCTGGAACCCAGACTGAGGGAACAGCCACTATCTGGAACTTAGCTTGTCTCATGGTGAAGAAAAAAGAGATCACTTAAACTGATTCTCAAAGGTTCTGCTCAGAGGTGATGTGTCAATTTCCATACTCCAGAGCTAGTTACTCAACAATGTCTGAGTTCAGGAGGGTGAAACATAATCTTCCTGCCAGGAGAGAGACCAGAAAATTGGGTGAATAGTAAAACCAGAGAGGATTTGATATCTTCACAGGAGTTGATGTCTTCAGACCCGTCATGTTCCATATTTGGGCTCTGGGCAAGAAAAATAAAATCACCATTTGGCAAAAGTTACAGTTACTCTTGCAGGCAAGAATTATCGATAGAGACTAAAATTAGTGGGTAAAAGTAAGATGGGAAACAGGATATTTGCATAATCTCAAAATATCTCCCAACTAGATACTTATTCATTACAAAGTTTAAAACAGTAATTTTGCAGTGGAGAAAAATCCATTTTTTAATGACTAGGACTCTTTCTTTGCAGCCTCTTTTGTCAGAAATTTCAAAGCAGAGTTGAATGCAGCCTTGGAGGTGAGGGTGCTTCTGGATGTTGTGTCAGGTGGTGACAGGTTATTGTTGTAGTTAATAGTCATTAACAGCCGGGTTCAGTGTCTCAGCCTGTAATCCCGCACCTTTGGGAGGCTGAGGTGAGTGGATTGCCTGAGCCTGCGGGTTCGAGACTCACCTGGGCAACTTGGTGAGACCTCATCTCTACAATAAATAAAAAATTAGCCGGGTGTGGTGGCGCATGCCTGTAATTCTGGCTATTTGGAAGGCTGAGGCGGAAGGATCTCCAGAGCCCAGTGGGTCGAGGCTGCGGTGGCCGGGAGTGGCCACTGCACTCCAGTCTGGGCGACGGAGTGAAACTCCAACTCAAAAAAAAAAAAAATAGTCATTAACTATGAACTATAGTAATGTTATATGTGCTGGAATGTTCAGAAAGGACTCTTGCATCAAGAGGGGAGGGCAGGGAGATGGAGAAAGAATTGAAAAAGGCAGGAACCTACAGAAGAGAAAGTCTTAAGAAGGAAGGTTTCCTCCATCTTGGGTGAAATTGAACACAAGAGACTCTTCCTACCCCCTCCACTCACTTTGTTTATGATCAGCTTCTCTGATGCAGGGGAATTTAGATTAGAGATCCTAAAATATACCTTTTGACCTTTCCTTTGCAGATCCCCCTAAAAGTCCTCAATCAAGCTGAACTTTAGGGCAAATCATGGTCCTTAACGTGCCTTTGGTTTTCTGGTGGGAAACACCCTCCATAGGATGAATTAGAATCATATACATATGTCGTAAATGTCAACAAATATTTGCGAATGTCTTTGATGTGCTAGGCACCAGCTAGTGGAAGATTATGGCTTGGGTTCATTTTGACTTTGGAACCATATAAATGTTTTACATAGCCATAAAACACAATGAAATAGAAATGGACATGAAATGCAAACCCATTTAATGACATATCAAGTTACTGGCAAGTTTTACGTTACTTCACACCACACAATGTGAGCGTGCATTCTCCATGAGGTAACCTAAGTATGAAGATAGTTGCAAAAAAATTGTATTAAGTTGTTTTTCAGTTGCCAGTGTGATTATTACTTGAGACTACACACATGCACACTGATAACATGAATGTGCAATTATGTTAATATCACAGGAACCAAGATTTTCAGCATAAAAGAAAAGGGACACAAATATAAAATTCAAAAGTCAAAGTCTAGTCGTCATGAATTTGAACTAGAAATAATCAGTATAAACTCACAATTCTTTTCCCCTTTAAAAAAATATTCATATATCTTCTGATTTTTTCCACTGGAAAGACCTAGAAACAAAGGCCAGCCCAATAGTAATTATTCTGGAAAATTGGCAAAAGGAAAGAACCACAGACTTATCCTGCCTTTCTTATATAGATGGAATTCCAAGTTCAACAGATAGTTTATGAGGGATAGTTCTTTATAGAATAGTTTCCACTACTATTTTAAAAACCACATAATTTTCTGACTGTTTGGGGACTTTGTAGTGTAAGATCACATTGTGAACACCTGACCCAACCAGAGGTCCTGTGCCTTCTGACCCAATAGAAGATGAAGTAGCTTTACCTGCAAAATACTCTTTGTCTCCAGAATAAACCTGAATCCTATCAAGCCTCTATATTTCCTACTAGCTTGTAAGGAGGTGATCTTTAAAATAAAAAATGGGATATTTTTCCACTTGTTTGTGTCATCTTTGATTTCTTTGAGCAGTGTTTTTTAGTTTTCATTGTAAAGGTCTTTCACATCTCTGGT